CTCCATATAGCCGAGCGTGTGTTTAGAGCACCATCGGCGTGTCCAAACTTTCAAAGTCGCATACGGTCGGTTACTATTGAGGTACCTTCGCTAGCGGCTGTTTCACCCGACCCAACCACGTCGCGCCAAACCAGATGGTTCCATCGCCTGATGCCTTAGCTGAAGTGGAAACTGAGCCAGTACTGGCCCCCCAGCCGATCTCTGTATATATGTTCTTGGAGTCGATGGATGTGAGCAGTCGATGGAGGTGAATAGTCGATGAAATTCAGCTCAACATGATGCACCTAGACTCTCGATTCTTGGTTGCTTGTAGTAAAAGACTTCACCGACTTTTACTAGTATGCGTGACATCGGCTGTCATAAGTTGAAGCTTTTGAGCTTGATGATGGGTTTGGCGTCCCCTTGAATGTGTGCAGCTCCCAAACCTGACTACCTTGGCGTACTTTACGACCTGTTCGGCGAGCTCTGACAGCTCGTGGCAATCCTGGTTGTCGCCGAAGAAGTCGGAATTGGTGGTAGCCTGGTTGAGGCTGTGCAACATCCTCTGCACCGTGGCTAGCGCTTCTCGTTCACCCTCGCCGTAGCTGGTGCAGCTGGCAAATATGGTGCCCATGCTCAGTCCGGGTTTATCAGTACGATGTCCCATGCACTCTGGGCTGTATTCATCACGTCATCCATTGCGATGTCGATGTCCGTTTTCTCCAGTGCCGTTGTGCCGTTCATGTCATCGCCGGCATGCCGCAGATGTGTCTAGCCACTTCATGATCTCATACTTGCACTCTAGAAACATTCCGGTGGATCCGTCCGCCTTGTCAATTGGACCGTCCATTGCCGGTTTCGTTGCCGTCTTGCAGGGTAGTGAACAGGTACAAGTTGCGGCTCATGCCAAGGCGCCGCACCGTTCCTTTGCCGATATCCAGGTAGAATTTATCCATGACTCTCGAAGCCGATATATGCGCATGGCCACATCGGCTACTCTTGTGGGAATATTATATTTGCAACCTTATCCTAAACATGTCGCTCCAATACTTAGTTATGTGGCCATCATGCGATTTAAGTTTCACCGTCAATTAGCTTGTCTCGTCAATGTTTCTCCAGGATACACTGATTACATCGGCTGTCTCCGTTGATGTAAGCGAACTATAATTAGCCGATGTGTATATTTTGAGTGAAGCCCTACCACCAGATTTCTTGAACGAACGTAAGCAATTATGCTCTTTCTCCTTTGATATGTACGCATATGTACTGCTCAGTCAAATAAGCTTTGGTCCGGCCGCCAGAGGATAGGGAATCAAAATGCCATCGGCTATCACTTTTATAATCCTTTCCTGTGTCTATCGACTAAAGTACAGAAGAACCTGGCTGATGCTCTATCCAGTCGATATACAAACGAATAATTCGTACATGCTGGAGCAGTGTGCCGATGGATGGCTCTGGACGTATAGGTTCTGTACCCAATGTCTATGTCCATCCGGCTGACTGACGAAGAAGCATGCATACATGCCGATGTACGCCAGCTGGGGTGATGGCAACACCAACACCACGTATCGGCTCATCAGGTATGATGCAGCATCTTGGAGCTCATGGGATGGAGCATAAATCCCTCCGTGTAATCTTCGTATGAGCGGCGTTTGGCAGGGACCCCATCGGCAGATTGCTTATCAGCTTGGGGCAGAGTCTTGAACCTCAAGGATAGTAGCCGATCCTATTTCATGAGTAGTTATTGACCCAAAGTCTTGAAGCCGATAGATGTGAGGGAGCAACCATCTGAATAGATTACATACAATGGCAATCATCTTGCATACGTGTGCATCTAATCTTTAAAATCACAAGACGTGCCTCGCATGCAGATGCATTAACTTCCCATCTTTATCTCCTTATTAATGAATACGGTATGCATGTTACCTTCGTAGTATATCTTTGTTTAGCCCATGCAATATTCTTTGTGCGGCAGAGTACAGCGGCATCAGCTTTTGATCTTCTTGACTTTATCACTTAAAGTGTCATTGTGTTGTTGCAAGTTTGTAATGACTGTGACAACAACTTCACACACGCTAGTAGCACCACACAAATGACATGCAATCCCCTCCGTGTTAGGACCCTGGCTTCTCTCGTTGGACCGATCGGTTACTTTCTAATAATAAAATAACTCCATCGGCCAAATAATCCATTAGTCCTTTGTTTTAATCTAACTGTCGATGTCCCTTTTGACTAGAATCAACTTTCTAGAGACAATGAGTATGATCATCGGCATCTTCCTCTGATATTTTTCGTGCTTGAGGTATTCCAGCAGTATATCTTGAATCTTGTTGAGGCTCCCGAACAGCAGCACGTGGCCTTGCAACTTTGTCTCTGGTTTCCTTCGTGGTTTTTTGACAATGATCTTTGGCTCAAGAAAAAAAAATCTAGATCTTGGTTCACGTGAATAGATGAAAAACTGCTTACTGCCTTTAATCAGGATTGGTGACTTTTCAGGCGTAATTGAAATCGACCTTAGAGTATGATATGTTGTTTGATGATGCCAGATGCCGAGGCCTTGATGAATAATGCCTCAATAGATGGCCCAATAAATACTAATATCGTCCTTTTGTTGTAGATGAAAAATTCAGCCTCTCCGTGATTTGGAAGCTAATAGAATATCCATAAAGCACCGACTTCTAATCAAACCATTATGGTCCCACTAGGCGTGCTAGAACGTGTGTCGGCACAAAAACGTGTCGATGCACCTGGCACACAGCAATCTGGAAGGATCTGCTTGATGGAGCAAGGCTGGAGATCCGCTTGGCTTTAATGTAGGGCTAGCTGATCCTGCGAATTTCCAAATGCGTGCCAGTCAATTGGAGCAGCAATTGACAAGGAGAGAAAGTTTATCAGTAATTTAAGGTGGAACATACTGGTTTTTACCCAGACAGTTCCAAGTGTGCCGCTTCGGGAGCAGCCAGACGGGAAAATCGACTAAACAGCCGATTCGCGAAAAAATCAGTTGTTAAGGACTGTAAAGCTCATGGGTTGCGATTGATTTTATGATGACAAGTGCAATGCACGTAGATATAAATAAAATCATCAGCTAGGTGGATATAACTAGTGTAAATCATTGAACCAATGAACTTAGCGAGAAAGGATATAACATACGAACAAATCGACTGTCTAGTATAAATGGATCTACAAACGCTCTGAATCTAATCTGTTACCATCAACAGTGAGGTTCGACCGGATCGATGGCAGCTATAATGATAATAACAAACTAAAACAAAAGAATCCATAAAACCATTTATATATTGACATGTTTTCTAAAAGACATGCTATATGTGTGAAGGCACAAATGAATCGGCTAAAAGAGCCAATTCAGGTAGAAAAAGGATCATAGCAGGTGAACAATCGACTATTTAATGCGAGCAGACCTATAAACTCCTCAAATCTAATCTATCATCTTTAACAGTGGAGTTCGACCGGATCGATGATAGCCATAATAAAATTAACAAATTAAACCTTTAAAGAAAACCGATCTATTCATATTTAATAGAATTATGAAAATATACTATGAGCGTTAAAGTGCAGGTGATCGGCTATTTAGTCGATGCAAGCGTAGCAAACAGCCAAGATCACTCTTGGTCGAAAGCAAGTCTACCAACTAGCATCCTCCGATCTAGAGTGCCATCAGTAGGGATCGATCGGATCGTTACAACCATAATAGCGATATATAGACCAGATTTAACTAGCCAGTAAACATCCTCAAAATCAGACATGCCTTGACCGCGTACTATGCACGATCAAGATCGAAGTAGGACAACCGATGAAACGTAATCCGTCATTTAAAGTAAGAATCATCGCAATGTGGCAAAATAAACAAGGGACTAAAATGATGTGAGGCCGATCTAGTTCGATCTTGATCGGCAGGTTAATGTTGCTGAAACTAATGACAATAAGAACATCAGGAAGATCGGTAACTTAATGAATCTACTCGAAGAATGACACCCTTAGATAGAGCTGATAACTTGACTTTAATCTAATTCAAGCAGTGAAGGTCGAACTTAACCGATGCAGCCGTGCTTGAACTAGATAAGAGTCGATAATTAGCTTATACTAGAGCTCGTAGTGGAGGTTGAACTTAACCGATGCAGCCTTACAAACAGAAGTATAAGCCATGACGGTACTTACAAACAAGCTGGAGATCGTCGAACTGATGCAGCCCTGCTTGTCGAAGAACTCGTCGAGATCTACACTACTTCTACTTCCAAGGGTTGACGTAAAGCAAAAAAAATAATTGGTATTGATTGATTGGATGTCTTTGTTACAATAGCCGGGGGTTTATATTTATAGCCTGGGCTAATAAAAGTCCTAAACGAACACGACTAGATAAAAAAAAATTAAGATACACGAACGTTTAACTTCCTTCACGCGGAATCCTTGCCGACAAATTGGATACTTGTGTATGTCCTTGCTTGTTAAGCAAACGAAATAAAATATTCCTAATTAATCTCCATTTGATCGATCATGCAAGTAATGTATTCTCCAGAGTCCCGTGCAAACACAACTTCTCTTTCCTTGACCGGTTGATCCTGGAAATCTTCTCCACAGTGGTCTAGTAACGTGTATGTATGTGTTTGCTTGGACGCATCTTTATAAGCCCAGCGAAAAATATTGTTCGTTGGCTGAAAAAATACGTCTTATAAACCGAGGAAACATGGTGTTATCATTTCCCATGACGCGTATAGGAACAAGCACCCAGTTACCCGCTCGAATTTTTAATCAAGTATCTAAAACTAGAAAAAAACAGATAAACCTATAAATATGGCAACATATCAGGTATAAATCAACCAATCTGTACAAATTTAGAAACTTAAGTTTACACCAGTTAATTGATTTGTACATGATATGTCGCCTGTAAATCTACGTGGGTGACTAAGTCATCGTCTCACTGCAGCCTGCAGCTAGCTACCGACAGCTGCAGACCAAGCAAGCAATCAGAGAGGAGCTCTGCTAGCTCTTGGACACCATCAATGGCCAAGATCCAGCCCCGGCCTCTGCCTGCAGCAGCCGCATCACCTCCCTCCTGCTCTCCCTCGGGGGATGAGGAGCGGCGGAACCTCCAGAAGCAGGCCGTGTACATGGTGTGGATGAAGTCGCTGGTGTTCAACGGCAACGGCTGCACCGTGTACGGCGCCGACGGCGGCGTGGCCTTCCGCGTCGACAACTACGGCTGCCGCGGCGGCCGTGAGGTGTTCCTCATGGACTGCGCCGGCAGGACGCTCGTCGGGATCCGGAGAAGGAGCTGCTTCGGGATGTTCAGGCGATGGGAGGCCTGCCGGTACTCCGAATCCGAGTCCGACGGAGGCGAGGAGACGAGGACGGCGTGGTTCGCGGTGCGCAAGGCTCCGGGCGGCGGAGCTGCCGTGACGATGCATGGCAGCGGGAGGACTTACGCGATCGTCGGCGGGTGCTCGCGCAAGCCGGACTACAGGATCATCGGCGGCGCCGACGGTGCGGCCGTGGCGGCGGTCGCGCGGAAACAGACGCCGGCCGGGGTGGTTCTTGGAGACGACGTCCTGACGCTGACGGTGGCGCCGGGGATGGACCATCTCCTCGTCCTGGGCTTGGTCGTCGTCTGTGGCCTCATGAACCGTTGCTTGTGATGGCCGATTGCGATGACTTCATCACAGCCAAGCATGTGATTTCTTCATGCGTTTTTTCTCTCTCTCGATCAGCTAGACTGATTCTTAGGAGGATACAGTGTGAGAGCGTGTTTCATAGGTAGTAGCTGGCCATTTTTCCCACTAATTTGAGGTCATTTTCCACTTTTTGGTGGATGTTTTTTTTTAATCCGGATTCTACGGATGTACAACTGTATGCTGGCCATATATACATAGTCTATGAAGCAGACATTTTCCCATTACAGACATTAGTTTCACCTTTTCATTTCTGAACATCCTACCATTGGGTCATAAGTTTAGCATGAACAACCTCAGCATAATATGTACGGTCCGTTTGATCCTTAATTGAATTCATTCTAATAATTACAATTTAAACATAGATTAATTGAGCTAATATAATTATATATAAAATATATTTATATATTTATTGTTAGGCATACAAGAGATATACTTATATATTGCATTTCTATTGTATTGAAGTGAGTTGAAGAGTGTGCTATAAGTTAGAGAATATAATTATAGCACAGTGATATATAGAATCCATTTTTATTTCCCACCCTATGAATTTGAGATAGACTTATTTGTGAGCTTGAAAATATTATAGAATGTCAAATTCTAAGCCAAATAGTCTAATCCATTATGTAGATTTTAATTCCTCTAAAATAAAGGAATCCAAACGGTCCCTAAGTAAATTCTTGTGTCACTTCACAAATCCAGGAGCTACTACAGGTAGCCAATATTTCATTACACAAAAGTATATACTCAATAAAATTTGAGCTCAACATTATCGGAGATAATTTGTGCCATGTATGATAAAATTACTGCTCTGGAGTATAAACATGCGTGGAAGAACCTATGTTATGAAATTTCAGATTTACAATCATAACGGTTCATACTTCATATAACAGAGTTGACTTTCGTAATTTTGTTGAGGTGAACTGTTCAAACATTCGATCGTTTACCATATGTCATTGCGATATATTTTTTTGGTTGATTTGTTATATTGTTGAGACCATCAATATAGCTCTGACTTCACAAAGTATCAAACAAAAAACCCTGTAGGCTGTAGTAGTTGCTCTGCTCGCTGCCTTTATGCAGCTGTACTTTTCATTTAACGATAGCCTACTGGGATATATAACCTCTTCAATAATTAAATATAAGAACATATTTCATATACAGGATTAGCAAGACACAAATAATAATAGTACCTTTTTTTATGGATCTATTTGTTGAAGCTCTTATAATAGCTTTTAGGTTGATTCAGGCGTAAAAACGTGTCGATGCGCCTGGCACATAGCAAGCCGGAAGGATCTGCTTGATGGAGCAAGATAGAAGATCCGCTTGACTTCAACGCAGGACCGACCAATCCTACGAAATTTTTTGAGGGCATGCCAGTCAATTTGACCTGCAATTGACAAGGAGAGAAAGTTTATCAGTAATTTAAGGTGGAACATGCCGGTTTTATCTAGACAGTTCCAAGTGTGCCGCTTCAGGAACAACTAGACGGGAAAATCGACTAAATAGCCGATACGTGAAAAAATCAGCTATTACGGACTGTAAAGCTCATGTGTTACGATTGATTTTATGATGACAAGTATAATGCACGTAGATATAAGTAACGTTGTCAGCCAGGTGGATATTACCAGTGTAAAGCATTGAGCCGATGAGTTTAACGAGAAATGATATAACATGCGAACAAATCGACTGTCTAGTACAAACGGACCTACAAACGCTCTGAATCTAATATGTTACCATCAACAGTAAGGTTCGACCGGATCGATGGCAACTATGATGATAATATCAAACTAAAACCGAAGAATCCATAAAACCGTCTATACATTGACAGGTTTTCGGAAAGACATGCTATATGTGTGAAAACACAAGCGAATCGGCTAAAATAGCCGATTCAGATAGAAAAAGGGACTACAACATGTGAGCAATCGACTATTTAACATAAACAGATATATGAACTCATCAGACCTAACCTGCTATCTCTAACAGTGGGGTTCGATCAGATCGATGGCAGCCATGATAAAGACAACAAATCAAATCTTTAAAATAAACAGATCTATTCATATTTAATAGAATCATGGAGACACACCGTAGGCGTTAAGGCACAGGCAATCGGCTATTTAGCCGATGCAGGCATAGCAAATAGCCAGGGTCATGCCTGGTCGAAAGCGAATCTACCAACTAGCATCCTCCGATCTAAAGTATTAACAGTGGGGATCGATCGGATAGTTACTTCTATAATAGCGAGTTACAGACCATATTCGACTAGCTAGTAAATCTTGTCAAGATCAGACATGCCCTAACCGCGTAGTATGCACGATCAAGGTCGAAGTAGAACAGCCGGTGAAACATAATCCGTCGTTTAAAGTAAGAACCGTCACGATATGACAAAATAAACGATGGACTAAAAAGGATGTGAGGCCGATCTAGATCGATCTCAATCGGATAGGTTGATTTTGCTGAAACTAATAACAATAATAACATCAGCAAGATCGATAACTTAATGAATCTACCTGAAGGACGCCACACTTAGGTAGAGCTAATAACTTGACCTTAATCTAATTCGAGCAGTGGAGGTCGAACTTAACCGATGCAGTCGTACTTGAATTAGATAAGAGTCGATAACTAGCTTATACTAGAGCTCGTAAGAGTTCGGCCGGGCCGATGTAGCCTTACAAACAGAGGTATAAGCCATGATGGTACTTACAGATAAGCCGGAGGTCGACCAAACCGATGCAACCCTGCTTGTTGAAGAACTCACCAAGTTCTACACTACTCATACTCCTAAGGGTTGGCGTGAAGCCAAAAAAAAGTAATTGGTATTGATTGATTGGATGTCTTTGTTACAATAGCCGGGGGTTTATATTTATACCCTGGACTGATAAGAGTCCCAAATGAACACGACCAGATAACAAAAAGAAATATTAAGATACACGGACGTTTAACTTCCTTCACGTGGAATCCTTGCCGACAAATTGGATAGGTGTGTGCCCTTGCTTGTTAAGCAAACGGAATAAAATATTCCTAATTAATCTCCATTTGATCGACCATGCAAGCAATGTACTCTCTAGAGTCCCGTGCAAACACAACTTCCCTTTCCTTGAGCGGCCGATCTTGGAAATCTTCTCGACAGTGGCCTGGTAACATGTACGTATGTATTTGCTTGGACGCATCTTTATTGACTTGCATCTTCACTATGTCGGCAACCAGGAATCGTATTATTTCCTTCATGCATGGACTCTTTCTTTAATCAAGAAGCTTCACGTCTCCATCCAAAGATTTTCCTCATATAGCTTGGCCAAATATTATCAACATATCATGCTGCAATAGAACTTTCCTCCTCGGCATACTCCCGTATCCGTACACAAATAGGTTTCATCACGCCTAGGCCAACGCTGCTGATGCCATGGCCTTTTATAATCTTTTCCAAATCTAGAATAAACAAGAACATGTCTGGCCTTCCAAGTCTGTTGAACACATGCGCAGGCATGTTTCTTCTTTCTCTTGACACCTTCAAGTGTACATATATACAAGCAACATGCAGACCAATGATAACCGTGTGTTTGGATATGCTTCCTCTAATGCACGACTTGATTAATAATCAAATAGTATATATTCCGGCTCGCTTCTTCCAATTGAACTTGTCACCCTCTATCTTTATCTTGATTGGTCCAAAGTCTTCAAAATATATCCATGTGCACTCGGACAGCTCCACTGAATAAAAATGCACATTTGGCCAACGGTGATGCCATTAGCCGAGATCCCTCCTTTCTTACCAATTTTTGGTGTCAACAGAACTAGATGGTAATACAAGCACCGAGACACAAGATTTAGATAGGTTCGGCCGTTAGTAGGACGTAATACCTACATCTTGTGTTTCGATGTATTGCATTGAGATATGTGGAGATGCCCACTATGGGACCTCTGCCTCTCCTTATATACTCTGGAGGGGTAGGGTCACAAGAAAAATATCCTATTTGGTATTATACAATAAATCACATCTTCTTGTAGCCTTGCGGTGCACACCTTGATCTTGTGGGTTGGGCCAACTTTGGGGCGCGGCCCATGTCTTGTCTTGTGGGTACCGGGGGTATATCCCCCATAGGAGGGGAGCAAGCCCATTGCCTTGTTATGCCTGATCATTGCGCCAGGCCTGGGAACAGGGTGTCTTTGGACAGACATGCCCAGACAAGACAGAGCACAAATCATGCCCAGACAAGATAGAGCACACACACCGAGAAGTAAAATCATCTGTATAATTATTTAAGGAGAAAAAAATCATGGGCGGTCCTCTAAGTTGTCAAGAGGTGTCATCTAGGTCCCTCTACTCTTCAAATGCTATTTCTAGGTCTATAAACTTGGCTTTGGGTTTCATCTAGGTCCAAACTAGTCATAACCCGCTCTGAATGTTGACGTGGCATGCTGACTGTGTACTAGGGGTGCCCAAATATTAGGTCAAGTATAACTTTATTTTATTTTTTATTTGTTTTTCCTGCATTGACTCGTGACTCCCCGTCCGCCGTCCGTCGTCGCGCTATTGTTCTCGAGTTCCATCCGCCGCGCATGCCCGCCCGCCGCCGCCGACCTACGCAAGGGCGGCCACACCCAAGGCGGAGAGGCAGCGAGGCCCTAGCGGTAGCTCTGCTATGCGTTGTGCTGCTGCCGGCGTGCACCAGGCTGTAGCCATGGAGGAGGAGGGTTTGGGGGTGGGGGATGTTCACGGCAGCAACCCGCGTCCATGATGGCTTTGAGCAGTAGATCGATCTCACCAATGGAGGACAGCAGGTCATGCACTCGCGGTCATACCTGTTGGGTAGCAGTTGATCTCGCCGATGGAGGAGGACACGGAGTCGTCCTCATCGGCAGTAGAGGTCGGCGAAGGAGGCCAAGTTGGAGCGATACGGTCTCTGTTGATGGGGAGGCAAGCTGAGGTCGGCGAGTGCCTCGATCTCATCCCCGTCGCTGTCGAC